AAGGAAGGAAGGAAGGAAGGAAGGAAGGAAGGAAGGAAGGAAGGAAGGAAGGAAGGAAGGAAGGAAGGAAGGAAGGAAGGAAGGAAGGAAAAGAAGGGAGGGAGGGAAAGACAGAGAGGGAGAGGGAAGAGGGGGGAGAGAAAAGGAAAGGAAGAAAGAATCCACAGTCAAAACTCACTGAGGCCTACCAGAGAGACGCGCTAGATGCAGAATGCCCAGGGCCAATGAGAGAACAAAACCCAGACTCCCCCGCCAGGCAGTCCAGCGGACCCCACTGTCTCTGCAGCCGCAGTGTCCCGTAGGCCGTGTTTCCGCAGGTGTCGCTGTGTGTCCTCTGAGAAACACTCAGGAGGGAGGGAAGGAGGAGTGTAGAAGATGCCAGTTCCCGTCTCCTCTCTGAAGAGGCCCAGCTGGTCTTCCTTTCGCTCTTTCTCTCTTCTCAGTCCATATTGATCTGAGAGGTGGTTTCTGGAACATCCTGAGACAGTCGATAGAAAAACTGCCCTCTAAACTGAGCTGGAGCTGGGAGCCCAGGGACTGACTGGCCGTGCCCGGGTGGGCCAGGTGGAGAGGCTCATCCGAGGCTGCTCTGCACGTCCTCTGGGTCGGTGCGGGATCCTGCAGGTCGGCCCCTGCTCAGCCAGGGCCTCGGCGGCCCACGCTCCCGGGGTGGGGGGGTGGGGGGAGCAGCAGTTCCGCAGAGTCAGCGCTCTCTGCACCTGCCAGCCCCGGTGGAGCTCTGAGTCCCTTCCCGTGAGCGAGGCCGAGCGGGGGCCTCGCATCCCGGGTTCCCGCCGAAACAAATCCTCCAAGAAGCGCCCCAATCATCAAGCACCTTCATACAGCCGGTGTTCCATTAATGACATGACAATTCTCCACCAGGCAGAGATTTTAGCCAAAGGTCTTAGAGGTCAGCTGAAGTCATGCTAAAGCCCGGCGGGCCAGTCTACACTGGCTCATGCATGGTCTCCGCCTCAGGGTACCAAGGCGTATCCCAGGTGCCTTCTTTTTTTTTTTTTTTTTTTTTTTGCAGTTTTTGGCTGAGGCTGGGTTTGAACCCACCACCTCTGGCATATGGGGCTGGTGCCCTACCCCTTTGAGCCACAGGCACCACCCCCAGGTGCCTTCTAACTGCAGTTTGGCATTCGCTGGATCCACTTTGGAACAAAGTCAGTGAGCACAGAGTTCCCTGGGGTGTGGTGGGGAACTTGCGTTTTCCCCTCGCAGAGGCTTCTCAGCCCAGCAGTTCCCAGCGTGCTTGAGAAAAGGATTCCTTAGCTGGAAGTGGGGACAAGGTGAAACCCCCGAGGCGGCTTTTGCTCCTTGTTGCCTTGTGTAGATACACATTTTTAAAACGGCCCCCATTTTTGAGTCACACAAGTAGCATGTGTTCATTATAAAACTGAGGCTTCTCAATAAGCCTAGCAAAAAGAGAGTGAAGTTGTTTCAGGAAAATTCCTTCAGCCCATTTTCCTGTAACCAGTAGTTAAACCCAGAATTTAGAAAAAAATAAAACAAGTTAAAAACTAAGGAATTTACCAACAGAAAATAAACAAAAATGATGCTTCTGAGGGTCATCAGAGCGCGGTGGCTCTTGCCTGTAATCCCAGCACTGTGGGAGACCGAGGAGGGTGCGTTGCCAGAGGTCAGGAGTTAGGGACCAGCCTGAGCAAGAGCGACACCCTGTCTCTGAAAATAACCAGGCGTTGTGGCAGGCACCTGTAGCCCCAGCTACTCAGGAGGCTGAGGCAAGAGGATTGTTTGAGCCCAAGAGCTTCAGGTTGCTGTGAGCTATGATTTTGCAGCATTCTACCAAGGGCAACATAGTGAGACTCTGTCTCAGAAAAAAAAAAAAAAAAATGATGACTCTGGCCTCCAAAGTTTGTTCTCCTTAAAAACTGGCAAGGATCGGGTGGTGCCTCTGGCTCAAAGGAGTAAGGCACCGGCCCCATATGCTAGGGATTCAAACCCATCCCAGGCCAAAAACTGCAAAAAAAAAAAAAACCCAGCAAGGATCATTTAGAAGCAAGTAGGGTGTAAGGCAGTATTTTTCAACCTTTTTTAAACTCATGGCACACTGAACCTATAGTTA